ATTTACCGAGTAATGATAATTCCATGATAATGAAACATGGCAGCATGAAGCACGCTACGTAATAGTGAGGTCTGAAATATGGCTTATCAACTAATGAAAAACTAAGACACAAAAAGAATTCGAAATCTGTTATAAATTTGTTGCGAGCAAAATTTCGGCGGGAGTGGCACAAAACTTTATATTTTTTCACTCTTCCCAAAGAAAAAAAGAATATCAAAATCATCTTACTGCAACTGGATTATAAAATGTTTTCACTAATTCGACTGAGCATTAAAATTTACCTTAGGTAAGGTTTTGACCGTATGAAGCAACCAATCACTCAAGCGCAAATGCTCATAAAAAATTTGACAAATTTTTTCCAGGACTCTCGAAGTTTATGAACGGCACCATCAATTCTATAGCCCTTACCTTCTCTTAATAACAATGTCGTAATAAGCACGAGAGGTGGAGTCGGATAAGATAGGAGGATACGATCCTATTCCTGTGCGAGATTTGTAGGAGATTAGGTCCCATTCTAAAACATAGGTTGATGTGTCGGAGTAGAGAAAGACATGCAAAGTAAAAAAAACCGATTTTGTAATTCTTTAGGTAGTGTCTACCAATCAATTTCACTTTGAGATCGCTAATTGTTTTCGTACATACACCCTTTCTAATTTTTCTTTTTCAATTGAGTAGTTTCAAAATACAATGATATGAATTATTGATAAATAATAAATATTCATAATATACAAGTAAGAAAAACAATATACCGTTGCTGGGACGATAATTATTAATGTCAGGTTCAGGATGCACTTCAATAAAAACTTCCTTTAGTGTGGAATGCCATGGTTCATAGTGGATTGTGCAGTTTTGATGATCGAAAGGAAACCTGAAAAGTTTGCGAGGGTGCAATCTCTAAGGGTTTCGCAAAGAAAATTCTTCACATAGTAATCTTATAATTGCAAAACACTTTGAGCACATGATCCACTGAGTGTCGGATAAAGCCAGTATGATCTAGTAGTACAAAACTACGATCATCGTCCATGAGTTGGGATTGATCAAGTCTAAAAAAATATTTTGAGGAATGTCCTGCCTCAAATCAAACCTACACATCGATTCTTATGACGTCAGGAAGCCAAATCAAACTTCTTGGAACTTTGATCTCGGTGATATTGTCGTAGTCCGCTGGGTTCCAAGTAAGGAACTCATCTCTCCAAAACATCCTCAGCCATTCTTTCAGCACGAGAACTTGGTTGACTTCATCCTTAACTTATATAAAGTTTAAAGTTCCCTTCTGAGCCGACGAACTAACGGTATGGAGGATAGATCGCAAGCCATTGTCCATGAAAACAACTGTGGTCGTCGATAAATTTCGAACTGGTCGTATATGCCTATTATAGCCTACGAAGATCTTCTCGAAAACTTCGTGGGCCTTGGATGCATAGTTTACATTGCCTACAAAAATTTTTGATGATATTTTGCGGTAAATGTTCCAACTATAGGGTGCGGAAAAAGTACTGTCCCTCTAACTTGGCTCCTATAACGCCTTAAACATAAAAGAAATCTGTAGTTTTTTGATTTCTATATGTAGGCAAGATCCTTGAGGCCCAAGACAGAGTTCACGCGATTTGATCGTGGCGATT